GAGTGACAATGAAAGTATTTTGAGAAATCGCTTCCTGCATGTGGTTATCACCTGTCTATAGCAAGAGAAGGTGTTAAGTTTGCCTCATTCCAGATGGAAATGACAAAGACCAGCAAAGCATCTGTAGGAAGCATCATATATGGCAACTTTCACAAAGTTCAGAACGTGTGTTCTGTTATTTCGATCCCTCGGCCAAGAGCGCTTTCTAATTTGATGAAAACTGTATGGTGGAAAAAGTGGAATATTTTATTTGTGTTCAGATTATGATTGAACACCAAATATATATATATATGTGGCCGATTTGATGAGTTTCCACTGGCTCGGTTTTTCCATTTCTTTACCCTGATTTTTCTGTAATTTGTTATTGCTTTGGCGCGTAATTTGTTTCCGCTGCATTTTATCCGAATACTACCAATAATTTAGAAATTATGATAGCAAGGCTACCAGAAGTCCTTCATTTACACACGTGTTTGAATCGTTGATGCGACATGGAAATCGACGAATCCTCGTCGAACTCTAAGAAGGAGAAAATGACGAAACTGTGGATCGGACATCTTCCTCCACGCGTATCAGAGTAATTTTGCGATAAATAGCCACAAATATGTTCATTTCGTTTTGTTTTCTTTTCGGCTGCGTCTTTTGAAATTATGCCAAAAGTTTGGGGAGGTTACAGACTTTGAAATGGTGCTACATCACGTCGGTGAATTGGAAGGACAGCCGAAAGGCTACTGCTTTGTGTCGTACGCGTCCATGTCGAGTGCCGAAAACGCGTTGCAAAAGTTGAGTGGAGCCGTAATAGATGGAAGGAAGGTCTGCGTTTCTTGGGCAAAGGAACGAAAAGAAGTATCTTGTGCAAGTTCAAGTTTTTACTTTTTATTTTCATAGTTTTAGCATTACGAAAATTATATTGCTTTATTTTTACACAATTCTTGGTAACTCGGGATACGACCTAGCCGATATATCATTAGATAACCACACTACTGTGAGGGAGAGGTGACTTGGGATGTTCTAGGTTTGTAGATAAAGAGCGATGTGGGATCGGTATATGGAAATCGAAAAATTTGTTAACTTGTCGCAGCGTTTGCTAACATAATCTAATTTATCCATAAATACCTTGGCATTACCTTTATCTGCTTTTTTAGTTAAGTCACTGTTTACTTTTATCACGATATGCAATATTAATTGTTTATAGTTTGTCCTATTATGTACGTTGTTTTGGTAGTCGATGGACAAAACTAATTTATTTGTCCCCAAATAGCCACTGGTTTGGCACGGCATTTTCTCAGGATTCAGAAATATTAGGTAACGAGACTGTCCTGTAATTTCTAAAGACGTCAAATCCATTGTGTTTGTTAACTATAATTGTATTCCGTTTTTATACGACGTCTTAAACCTGGACAGATACCAGTGAGCGGTATCAAGCGAATGTTAGGTGTCAACAACGGCAGCGTATGCTAACGGTGTGCTCCAATGCAGCAGCCGATTTTGGCGCTGACGCGCTAATCCAAGGTTGGGATGGGGCAGTTGATGGTT